CACACACACACACACACACACACACACACACACACACACACACACACACACACACACGATGAGATAATAAGTCAAGTCACCAAGTTTGATCCTGCGTATTTTGAAGTCGTTTGCAAACATTTCCAGTTCTCGTATCTGTGGAGAATCCATGATGGGCACATCCTCTGCTTCCCGCATGCTCTTCCTTTGGGCATCGGTTTTCAGCTCTCCACCGGGGCCCCCGGAGGCCTCATCAGGCGACAGGAGGGCAGAGGGCAGCGACGAGAAGCCGTGGCCTAACGCACAGGAGCTGCTGCTCAGCCCGTGATCTGGAAACTTGTATATGCATGGAGTCAGCGACCCTGGGAAGAAAAATAAGAGGTTAGAGAAGCGAAGGCATGAAACACTGGGAGCCCACATGTGTCCCCAGGAAACCCATTAAGACAAATTATGGTAACTAATGGCTGCTGCTTCGTTAGCCGACAGAATGTTGTGTCTTTTGTGAAGTAAATCCCTCAAAATGACAATCCTCATCCTCTTTTGAAATGAAGGTTTAACCCTAATCAGCTCCTTCTTTTTAATTTCCTCTTTGTGGCACTGCAAGTAAAGCTATCATTATTACCTCTGAAGACAGATGCTGTCACCACGGGCTGCTGGGATTGTGCAGATATTTGTTGTGTGGGATTGGATCTCCTTTTTGGTGACAGCTAAGCCAGTTCAATTTACTGATAAAAACAGTGTGCCGAGTCTGAACCAGGCTGTCTGTGACTCGAGTGCTAAATTAATCTCGAATGCATTTTCAGGGGGCTTGATAAGCAGCTATTCTTTCYGCTGTCACTTAACACAATGTTCTCCAGTTTACCTGTAATTTAGCAAATTCACCCTTGGCAGCAGGATTCCCACACAAAGCTGAGTTCCCTTCAGTCTATTTCCTTAAATCTCTCTGATCAGGAGAAAAAAAAATCTGCATATTTATTTGGAAGCAACTTCTGCAAAAAGAATCACCAGTGTTGTATAAAGTACATCAAAGTGATACTTGAGGAAAAGTACAAGTATCTTATTATAAAATTACTTTGTTAAAAGTTGAAGTCTTCTCTAATAATGATACTTGAGTAAAATTCTTACAGTATCAGATCTTTTTGTACAAAAATTAAATTTCTGACATAAATGTACTTAATTGTTAAAAATAAAAGTATTGAGTAGAAATGAGCAATTAGATTTTACAAAAGTACAATTTTTGGGAGGTGACCTCTCCAAAAAAATAATAAAAATAAAAATAAAAAAACAGTGTTTCTAAAGGCGTGCAGCTGTGATGGATTGTGTACAAAGTAATATCGTGTCAGAATTGACTTCTCATCCAACAACTATTAAATTCACTCCATCCAGAAGGCACAATTTGTCAGGATAGTATTTTTTTTTACAACAATGAGCCAGAATGAAATAAGAGTAACAACTTTCTACTGCTTTCCTTTTTAAAATAACATGGGGTACAGATAATTGTGTACAAATGTAAGGAGCAGAAGTAAAAAAGTAGGCTGAAAAATATTTACTCAAGTAAAGTACAGAAAGCCAAAATTTCTGGCCAAGTAATTGTACAACTCCAGTCACAGAACATTTGCATCATTTTCTCATTTGTTTACAATTTCCACGATGGGTTTTGCTGTCGAGAGGTTAGGTGGAGAGGAGGTGAGGGCTCTTGTGCTAATCACTGATGACAGATAAATGACAGCCACAGCACAGTATGGATGGCTTACTGATTGCGATACGAAACGTGATGCTRTTGTTTTGTTTTTCACCACTTTGCRCAGCTGTGGGGCAGAAAACACTGCAGACACATGTGACTGAATAAATCATGTTGATCACATGGAAGAAAACTGATAAACACGCTGGTCTTTGCTGAATAGATTGAACAATTTTAATCTTGTGTGACGCTGAAAGTTGCTGCATCCATAATGAACAATGCAACACTCCCCTCTTGTGTTAATGAGGTTACAGTGCAAACTGTTACACAAGCTTTTTGTCCTAATTTCATTTAATTCATRYAAAATACACRAAACGCTGGGCCACTTTCTGTTTTAATAAGCTGACTCCATAAAACCTAATAATATATACTCCATTCTTTCACGCTCTTTCATCCTATTCAGTAGTTTAATCCAGCTACTGAGAAAGAAGCAGGGCTCAAGTTGGACAGATGCCGCTGGCTATAGATCAACACTAACCCCCACTCAACAGTGCCCCGCTGTGAAAACCAGTGTGGTCTAACATGCAATAAATCATCTYCTCCTGATGGAATTTTAAGAAGTGTATTGATTTAGATTGAGTCTTATGTATKTCACATATCCATTTTTAGGCTTGAGATGTTTAAAATATTTTAGAATCAACATGCAATCTGTTTAATTTCAAACTGTAGTGTACACTCTAATATGTGACACATGGTATGGGTCATCTCAGAACAAATACTTATGAGGGGCAGATTAGTTAAAACACTCCTCACAGCAAACCATAAAGTTATTTCATAAGATTGGAGGATTTCTGTTCCAGGACCGAGCTCTCCTTTAACAACGTGACGTCTTTTCCCCAGGGGTAGTGGCTTGGATTGGAGGAAGGATGTATAAAACTGGGCTATTAATTTGGTTTGATACCAAATACTCTGAGACCGAAACAAGAAGGTCTGTTTGGTTCAGATGAAAAGTAGTGTATGGCTTTATCAGTGTGCATTGCCAATACAATACACACTATTGTGATTCGTTTCCCATCCAAGTCATCTCCACTTTGGCATGCTTCTCCTCCTGCATACTTTGTCCTAGAGCTGCCATTGTAATTTATATCTGTAAAGCTCCTGTGCCAAATGATGGCTATGCCTTTTGGTGCCTATACAACTTATAGTTTTTGAAATATTAATATTTAATAAATTACAATGGGAGTCAATGGACCTTGTATTGGTCCA